TCCTGAGTATCATTTTCTTTCGAGACTAGCACTCTAACCACTAGACTACACAAGTCCTGACGAACAGTGGCATTTAAATCATGTTTGTGATATGACCCTTGACTTAATGGACTTCAACTATTTCTCGAAAAGATGCGAATTTTATGTCATAAAAGTATATTTTTAAGGTATAGTGGGTCATTGCTCCATATTTTTGGTAACCAAAAAATGTGTATTTTTATGCAAACTTTGAGGATTAACTTTCAAAAAGGTAGAGAGAAGATCCACTCATATTGAAAAATAGTGTTATAGTATGAGAAAATCTCTTTTTGCTCGCTTTAGTGTGTGTCTAATATTTCACAGGCAAATAATTTCAATCTTTGAGGGATTTTTGCAAATTGTAGAGATTTTACATAAAGTATATTTTAATGTTAGACGAAATATCAAGGAAAATTTGATATAATTGAAATTTAATTTTTCATCACCATGTTTGTCACACTATAGGCTTATCGCTCGTCATATTCACCCATCTCCTTTCTTTGAACATTCTACTGGAGAAATGTGGCTGGTACAGTACCGTATGTTGAAAACCATAAAAACTCAGAACATAAAATATAATATAATACAATTTTGTCAAAGTCAAAAAACAAAAATAATAATCTTTTTTTTAATATTTACAGCTTCCTTAATGCCTTCAATACTTTCTAATACTTCATGTCATTATCTTCCTGTCGTGCCCATGTAATCAAAGTTTTTTTTCAGACTATAATTTACTCAACACATTTAATTTTATCATTTAATTTTCTGTTATGTAAGAATTCTTTAAAATTAATGTCTGACCTGTATGAGCAATTTCGAAGGCCAGACACATTACCGACTACTTTCATCTGTGTCCTCTATTTCTTTAATTGTTAAAAATGTTGACCGTCGTTAAAAACTTTAATAAATTCGGAAACCATATTACTCACTACTTTGGACTTATAAATATACTTTGTTTTCCAGAAGAGCCTTAGGAATACGGCCACTCATTTCCCTGCCAACATTCCCTTTTCTTCGCTCAATGATATATTATTTTAGACCCAAACTATAGTTATAGCATACTGACATAAAAGGGTGGTTTCTAATTGCTTACATTTTTGTCAAGATAAAATATTCAAAATGTAATGTTCACCAAAGATTTCGAATTTTCGCACGAGAATATAACGTCGATTGTGTACGAAAATCATCACACTTGCTATGAATGTATATGTAGTCAGGAACTCAGGAATTGTCGTGTTTGGATTCTGTTCCGATCTGTTTTAGCTCTCAGACTCTTTATTTCTCGCTGTAATAATAACGCGCTAAAATGATTAACAATTGACAAAACAGTTCGGGGGGAGGGGGGGTCTGGAAAATATGACAACACTAATTTTTATGTCCTTTCATGTTTTGTTGTCAGAATTATCCGTTTGTAAATCTAAGGCCGGTATACGCGGTAAGGCTTCCCTAATAGTCTCAAACCTTAAGGTTTTTGCAAGCTGAGCGACTTCCAAGTCCACAAACTATGGCAAGCCTTTCAAGATTATAAGCATTTCCATAAGTTCCACGTGTTTTCCCCATTCCAAAACAGTGCATTCAGATGTCGAAATAGAAGACGATGTTTCTAGGATGCTTAACAGGCGGATCCAGGAATTTTTTCCAGGGGGGGGGGGGGGGGTCCATCCCAGTCATACAAAAAATTTCAACCCAGAAATTTCTTGACAAGCAAAAAACAAACAAACAAACAAAACAAAACAAAACAAAAAAAAAACAACAACGTGAAATCCATTTCCCGAACGCGAAAAAAAAAACTTTCGTGGTGGTGATGGTGGGGTCCACGTTTTCCAAAATCAATTTTTATTTGCTTCAGTATGTACTTTTAATAACTTTGCTTCCGGGGGGGTGGGGGGTCCGGATCCCCCTTCTAGATCCGCGCATCCTTTACATCAGAATTTAAGTGACCACATTCAGACTTCTTCAAAAGAGGACGCTTCTTTAGATAGTCATTTTCGAAGAATGGTTTGATAAAAAAATAAATGGACTGATATTTGAGTGAATGGATTTAATTGGTGAAGAAGAAAAGGCCTGCTTTTTTCCCTAACCCTGTCTTGTATTAAGAAGTAAGAGCAGTGCTCTATTCGTGTGTCAGACTTGCAAGGTTAGAAAAAAACGTGTATTAAGGGTGTACATGCGGTAAGGCTAGAACTTAAGTTTCATGACTTGTAAGACAAGCCTTACATGTACCGTGTGTAACAGCCTTAAATCACTATTCATGGTTTATACTGATGTAATTAACACAGATAACACGACACCATTTCTTGTCAAAGAGAACATTGCACAAAGACTGCAATTTTCCCTACAGGAAATTCCGACTGTTGTATTTTAGTTGTTGGAGACGACTATAATTAGCTAGAACAATCTTTTTTATCTTCTTCTTATAGTTTCTGTTAAATAGGAATGGACCCCATTAATCGTTTTTGAACAAAAAAGAAAAAACAAAATTTTATGTACAAAATTACTACTGCGTTGCTTATAGAGCCTGCTCAATATGACTGTCATGGAACAAAAGGCCTATGGGCCACAACGCTTGATTGAATCACTCTGGTCCTGCTGTTCTTCATCAGATTTTCCCCTCGTTATTCCCCACAGGCACTTGCTTCTGCAATAATTTTTTTAACCCATAGTATAATAAAAACACAAGGTATCTAACTCCGAGTTACATGAAGTACTCCCTCTCCAGAATCGCAGTCATTTAAACTTTCAGAGAATATGCTCTGGCAAACTGTTTATTACCATTAATACCATAGCAGAGTTTTGACGCCGTTTAAGGAGAATGAAATATATGGAGATAACGAACAGTATTCAAGCTCAAAGTCCATTAGACAATACAAAATAGATAATAGAATAAAGACAAGCATGCCATATGTGGTTGTTTAGATAAATTATCGTAGAAGACAATGGTAATAAACAATTTGCCAGTGCACTTTCTTCTGAAAGTGTAAATGACTGCGATTCTGGGGAGGGAGATAATCCAGTATTATTCAGTATCCAGTAACCTGGTGTTATTATTACTATGAGTTAATAAAAATATTACAGAAATAAGTACCTGTTATTCCCTTCAATAATTTTTGACTATGTATCATGGCCCCACCCTAGCGTAAAGGATTTCTAATGTGACTAAACGTGAATCCACACAACATGCGGATGCTTCAATATAAATGTGACCAACATGGCCTTGCAGTTTGGAAAAGAGAACTTTTGAAAAAAAAATCTTCCTGTTCGCATACATTATGTACAGACTACGGATTATTCCGTATACCATATGAAAGCGGGTGTGACCGTCAACAGGGGATGCTTACTCCTTCTAAGCACCTAATCCCACATCTGGAATTTTCAAGGGTCCGTGTTTTATGCCGTGTTGTTTAAAATATTTTTGAGTTCGACCATTTTCGTCATTTTTACCTTTTATATATTTACATGAATATGACTAATCATGGCTATATTATTAGATTTTAAAAGATCTTTTCATGTACATTCCTATGTAAATCTTTGATCCCCTAATGTGGATCCACTCTTCTTCACGGGCAAAGAAATAAACAATCTGTACTACCTGAAGACGCTTTCACATTAATACGACTAACCATGGCACTGCTGTTCTATTTAGCCCAGACAGTAGTTCTCGAGAAGATACTTTATGACAACTATCCTTATTTTTACATAATTTATAAAATTATCTCCCCTTCAAGAGAGTGTGGTACTTTGATTGAACAAACTTGAATTTCCTTCACCGAGAGATGCTTTTTAGTAAGCTTGGTTTGAAATAAGTCCAGTGTTTCTACAGAAGTTGAAAATGTGAAAAGTTAATAAACGTACAGATAGATGGCAGGTAACGTAATCAAAAACGCTCACTGGAACCTTCGGTTCAGGTGAGACCATCTTTAAAAAAATGTTTGTTTGCCCTCTCCCGACTCGGATAAAAACAATGGGTCGGTAGGTAGGCGGGAAATATTTTCCCCCAAAAATTTTCAACATCAAGGCTTAATTTTCAAAAGTTGTTAAAATTGAACGCATTAATAAAAGTAAAATAGATGTTGAACTGGATTAAAAAAAAATCCGGAATTAATAATAAAATAAATTATCATTCCTAGAAGTTTAAAAAAGTTTTATTTAAACTTTTAGTCAGGCCATTTCTAGCCAGTCGGTCGGGATTGGGCAAACAATCAAATTTTTATCGGCCGCAGCAGCGGCCGATCTATTTGTGGTTGTGGTAGAATGTGCACATGGGGAAATGAGACGTTATTTTTTTGTTTCGTTGGAATAATTCCTCATTGATAACAAACATAAAAGTTACGAATAGAAGCCTTTAAAATTTGCTTAAAACTAAGTCTAAATAGTTGTTATTATGTTTCAATTTGTTTTTCATTTCTCGTCTGATATTTAATAATTTAATAATTTTACAAAAAGTTCTTTCATGAACTGCTCCCTAACATGCAAACTCCATACAGTGTCAATTCTCCGGGATACTTTCCCTACAAATAATGATATGGAGTTGTAGCGTAACGTAATACTGAGCTGTCTGGAGCTTGCCCTAAGATGGGCGTGCGTAAGATATAAAAAGAAAAACGTATTAAGTTTCCGGATATGAATTACAGTGTGGAAATTCTTCAAAATGAAATATATTTTTGCGGCCGATTTGATGCTTTGCATCAATTTAGCTTGTTTAAAGACGGCCTGAGCTAAATTTTCATTTAAAACGACCAAAAAAAAAAATTGCTTAGAACATTGCCATTAAAGTTTACGTTTCCATTTTTTTTTAATCATCAGTGAACAACCAACAACACTTCCATGATCAAAAATCACAACACGAATAGCTACGGGTTAAAACTTAATGGAGAAAATGAACACAATATATTTACATGCATATATGCATGTATTTGAAATAAGAGAAGACTTGTTTATACTCTCCATTTATGAATTGCTAATTCAAACAAAGAGACGGTAGATATAATTGACTACTTTATTTACAAATTGTGAATAAAATCTCTCATTTGTCACACAGTTCTTGCAATACAATCTGCTTTTCAAGTTTACCATTTGACATGAATTCTAGCACTGAACACTTACAATTTATATGACACTTTAAATATTGATTTATCCTAAAAGTAAGAACATAGCACAGTTAGTGACAGTCCATGTATATAAAACTCATTTTCTTGTGTAAACTGCTTTCCCTCAGATTAATTACTGCTTCAGTTAAGAATACAAAAAATAATTTATATACAATAAAAATTTAAAAATTTAAGTATCCATAAGTAATGTTTTAAATTCATTATAAAACAAATATATTTGTATTCAAATAAATATTCCAAACCACAAATATTTACAAAGGTACATGTATATTTCTCATATTGATGTACCTGATCAATCAGTATATAATGCAATTAATTCCCACAAGTGCTGCTCAAAAGTTTTAAACATTTCAACTCCCCCCATCCCCTTTTTCTTTTATATCGCAAACAAATACTTTGTTAAAATTACCTTTACAAAAATAGCGTTATTTTATGACATCTACATAACTTATCCCCTTGCCAATAATTCTTTCCACATACATTTTCCTATAAAAATACCATGACACATTGTTCCATACTGCAGAAACATGGTTCAACCATTTCAATGCATGCAGTTTACAGAATGATTAAAAAAAATAAGTCATTTTATTTTTCATACCACATACACATATTTACAAAATATCACACCAGATACTTCAAGAAATCATGTACACACCAATTCAATAACACTCTTGGACTGGGTTCCATGATCATAAAAGATCTAGGACTGAAGTTAAAAGGTTGAATTATTCATGAATTTCTCATTTAAGTTTGATCTGTAATTAAAAACATCTCTGTGGAAAAATCTTCGGTAAATTTTCATCTTTTAATTATCTGTCATCATAAAACTTTAATCCTGTGCACAATTTTTAGGTGTAAGATCAATTTCATAATCCATGGGCCTGGTGCTATAACTTGATACTAATTTTTTTAATTCCCATGACCTTACATATCAAATATGGATAAGTGAATACCATTTTCACTTATAAAGATGTTTTATAATCAAATACTATGATGTTAACTTAACTTTTTTTTAAAAGGTCATTCATTCACAACAAAGATACATCTTATCCCAATCCTATTGTGAATACCGTAAATAAATTAATTCCTATTTAATACTTTTATAAAGTACATAGTACTTTTAAATTGTAACTGCTTTGCAGATTTACAAGCTTTCACATCCAAACAAACATGCAGTCTAACATTATCAAGCTAAAATATATACGGCCTCAGACTCTCTGATTCTGGGTAATGAGTTGGTAATTTGATGAGACACTATGAGTGGCTTTAGATGCGTTCCCCTGGGGCAGGTCGGAGGTGCTTAGTCTATCGGCTCCTCGTCCTCGTGCCTCTGACGATACTCTTGAAGTGTTTTCTGAATCGTGTCTTTGGAGTATTTGCATTTAGGTGAATTACACGCACATGTAAATTGCTTCCACTTAATAATCCAGAATTTCTCTCCATAATCAAATCTGAAACATAGAAGTGAGTGTCTGGATGTGAAATGCTTCATACTGTAACCTCTGACACATTCTCCAGACCCTGTCCACTGGCATTAGTGTCAGAGCCAGCTGACAGAAATGCTCTGTCAGTCAACAATCTTCATCATAAAATAAGTAAAAATTCACATAGCCAATATTTATCAGTTACAACTTTTTATAATTCAGCACATTTTAACATTTTTGTGACCAAAAAAAAAAAAACGTCATGCAGGTGAAATCTGATAAAAATTAAACTTGTCTATTCAGATCAATTTATACCTGTTGCACTCAATTTTGTAACATATCATTTTATAGCAACAAAATAATTTGGATATTATAGTCCTAAAATACACATCTAATCTGAGCTAGTCCAACTCTTGAGATAGCAAATGAAATCAAACAGAATTAATTTTCTTAACGGAAGTCCCATAGCCACAGTTAACAAGTTTAACAATACATTTACTTAAACTGCAGATTAACATAACAATTGCAAAAATTCACTGGTTTCATGACACCCTGATTGCTGCAGCAAATAACTGATTATCACAAATACAAAATTGCTGCAGCATTTAACAGCTCCATTCTTGCCCCAAAATATTCTTTTTGTCAAAAACGATTACAGAGCAGCATTTTTACATCCTAACTGTGCCAATTAAAACTGGAGATTCTCTCTACCACTATGATACTGTGCCAATTAGAAATCTTCACCCTCGGTAACTGCTGACTGATAGCTCCCAGAGATCAGGATAAAATCAATATCACCACTGAGTGGACTCAACCTTCAATGGTTGACGAAAGCTAGATCCATGTCCTTAGCAGTAATGACAAAATCTATATATCTTTCTCACCACCAAATTAATTATTTATTGACCTCCTTCTTTGTCATTGTGTTTACATGTTGATCTCTCCCGTGACTAGGATTGATTCGCTCTCTCTATACAACAGAGAGCTTGCCCTTTCCCAGCACCAATCTCCAAGTCTTAAGTCCCTAACAGAAATTAACACCTTTTAACAATACTGTGTTACAATGTTCTTACTGCATTCCTGTGAATTCAAAATGATTTAGTTGACTGCTTCCCTTTTTTGAATTTTTTTTTTATTATTTTGCTTATTTCCTCTGTTTTTGTTTTCAACCAAAATTAAACTAGTGCTAATTGTAATGGGAACCATTACAGATGTTCCCCAAACGGCTCCCCAATCCCTTATGATGCCCCATTCCCTACAAGCTTCAATAAATTTGACAATACTTTTGTAATATAGATGGACACTTTATTTCTAAGGGTATTTCATTGGAAAACTACTCCGATATAGCCATATGGGTATTAGCCAATAAAATTTCAGCGCATATGCTTGCACATGTTTTCTACATTTTTCACATTAATTTTCTTAAAGTGTCTCACAATACATACATTTGTGTTAAATATCAAAGAATCTCATTAAAAAATAAGAGAGATGTAACCCTTTAAGTATTAACCAATCAGAATTCAGCATACACAAATGCATGGCCTTGCATTCGATTTTGATAGTATCATAATGTAGGAGCTCTAAGTGCCTATCCATGTCGTAAATTTAATCCTGTTTTGTTGAAAACCAAGGGAGTTATAGACATTTAAAGTTTCAACCAATCAGATTGCAGCACACCTGCATGCGCGTGTTTTCAAGATATTTCCTATACAACTTGTTGTAGCACCTTATAATATATACTTATGTTCTAAATTTCAAAGTATTTTGTCAAAAAACAAAGAAATTATTGAGATTTTTGTATCAGCCAATCAGAGAAGAGCGCAAGTGCATGCGCGTGTCTTCATGCTAATTTGACCATGTTATCTTATCTAGACTCCTAATATATCTTTATATTTTGAGTTTCAAAGCAATTCATCAAGAAATGTAAAAGTTACGGCTTCATCAAGTATATCAGTCATTTCACTCATTGCACGCGCGCGCACGTGCATGCATGTGCGCGCAAAATGACCTTCGTTCCGAACACCTACACAACATGCCTATTAACCCTAAAAAGGTTTCATGTCAATCGGATGAGTGGTTCTATGAGAACACTCCCGGACAAAAAAGTACCGGAGAAGAAAGTAGAAAAAAAGAAGAATAATAATAATAACTAGATGAGATCTCGTTGCGAGCAACGAGTAGGTCTTCCGTCCGATTTTTCGATAAGATGAGATATGATTTTGACTATGATCTTTGTTATAAGATAATAATATATATAGACTTCCCTAATTAGATTTCAATCCTTTGATTTTATATACATTATCAAAGAGCTATCGATGAATTGCTTTTGGCCCCTCTGAACTCCTAGTTTGAGGGGCAGCCCCTTTTTCTTGATATCAATTGAAAGGTCTTGTGATTTTGAAAACGTTTTGTTTAACAACTACTGTATTCAGAGATTTCTTTTCATTGTGGAGATATGCTGAATGGAAATATTTAGGGGCCACCCCTCCAAGTCCTTAATGGGGCCGTTTGACAGAAATTGAAAGGGTGCATATTGTTTAGAACATTATTCTGGCCATATTTTGTTCAGTATTGCTTTTCAAAATATTCCCCCTTTTCGAGATATAAAGTGTCAAAGATTTAGCATTCTGGCCCCTTGTGACCCCTTATTACGTAACATATGATCAGAATCTTATCATATATTGTTGTAAATCGTTAAGATAAGCATCTTTGCTTCAGTAATGTATTACAAATTATTGATCGTTAAAGAGTTATAGGTTGAAGACTTTTGGCCCCTCTGAGCCCTAATTTGAGGGGTCAGCCCCTTTTTCTTGATATCAAATGAAAGATCTTGTGATTTTGAAGACTTTTTGTTCAACAACTATTCAGAGATTTCTTTTCGTTGTGGAGATATGCTGAATGGAAATATTTAGGGGCCACCCCTCCAAGTCCATAATGGGGCCGTTTCACAAAAAATGAAAGGGTGCATATTGTTTAGAACATTATTCTGACCATCTTTTGTTCAGTATTGCTTATCAAAATATTCCCCCTTTTCGAGATATAAAGCGTCAAAGATTGAGCATTCTGGCCCCTTGTGACCCCTTATTACGTAACATATGATCAGAATCTTATCATATATTGTTGTAAATCGTTAAGATAAGCATATCTGCTTCAGTAATGTATTACAAATTATTGATCGTTAAAGAGTTATAGGTTGAAGACTGTTGGCCCCTCTGAGCCCCTAATTTTAGGGGTCAGCCCCTTTTTCTTGATATCAAATGAAAGGTCGTATCATTCTGCACAACTTTTCTTCTATATGTTTTAACAAATTCTTAACATGTATGAAGATATGAAAGAAAAGGTGTAAAATTTTGTGAGATGTTTCTGAGACATGTTTTGAGCCCTACCGAGCTTCGGCGCCTTTTGCGCTAGAGAGATTTGGACACCTGCCTGCAAATCTACAAACCTTCCCCTACCTTCACTGAAAATCTTGACTCAATATCTGAAGTCGTTTCGGAGGAGTTTCCAGGACAAGCCGACCCTCTGAAAATCAGAAAATCCTAAATATCTCGAGATGGAAAGTGACGTCATCAACGAAAAAAATTTCCAATAAGGTTCAGATCAATACCTATCAGATCTGAAAGTTTCATGAAAATCGGCGAAGACGTTACCGAGAACTTGCGTGCACAAAATCGGTAAGAATAATAATAATAATAATAATAATAATAATAGGGAAAAAGAAACCGAACGAAAACAAGAAGGTCTTCCGTTGGAGACGGAAGACCTTAACTAGATGAGATCTCGTTGCGAGCAACGAGTGGGTCTTCCGTCCGATTTTTGATAAGATGAGATAAGAGTTTGAATGAGATTTTCGTTTAAATATAATGATATAAATAAATTGTTAAGACGAACAATTTTGCTTTAATAATGTTTAACAAAATATTGGTCATTAAAGGGTTATAGATTAAAGATTATCGGCCCTTCTTGGCCCCTAATGTGAGAGGTCAGCCCCTTTTCCTTGATAACATCTTAAAGCTCTCATGATTTTGTACACTTTTTGTTCAACAACTGTTCAGAAATTCTTTTTTGTTTTCAGGATATATGCAAAAGAAATATTAAGGGCCGGCCCTTCAAGTCCTAAATGGGGACGTCTAGCAAAAATTCAAAGAGTGCATATTGTTCAGAATATTATTTTGAACGTCTTTTGTTCAATACTGTTTATCAAAATATGCTTCTTTTTCGAGACATATTGCACCAAAGATTATGCAATCTGGCCCCCTAAAGACCCCTTGTTGCGCAACATATGATATCAACATCATGTTATTTAGATAAAGTGTGTGAAGAAGAACTATTTCGCTTCAGTAATATATTACAAAATATTGATCATTAAAGAGTTATTGATTGTGTACTTTTGGCCCCTCTCTGTCCCTTATTTAAGGGGTCAGACCCTTTTCCTTGATATTACCATAAAGCTCCCATGATTTTTTACACTTTTTGTTCAACAACTAGTCAGAAATTCTTTTTCGTTTCTGAGATATTCGCAAAAGAAGTATTTAGGGGCCGGCCCTTCAACTCCTTAATGGGGACGTTTAGCAAAAAAATGAAAGGTTGCATCTTGTTTAGAACATTATTTTGGACATCTTTTGTTCAATATTGCTTTTCAAAATATTTCCCACTTTTGAGATATAAAGCGTCAAAGATTTAGCATTCTGGCCCCTTATGGCCCTTATTTATGTAACATATGATGTGAATATCATAATATATAGTTGTAAATTGTTGAGATTAACATTTTTGATTCAGTAATGCATAACAAAATATTGATCGTTAAAGAGTTATTGTTCAAAGACTTTCAGCCCCTCTCAGCCCCTATTGTGAGGGTCCAGCCCCTTTTTCTTCATATCTCTTTAAAGCTCTCATGATTTTGAACACTTTTTGTTCAACAACTAGTCAGAAATTCTTTTTCGTTTCTGAGATATTTGCAAAAGAAGTATTTAGGGGCCGGCCCTTCAACTCCTTAATGGGGACGTTTAGCAAAAAATGAAAGGTTG